TTGTCCAAAAAAAAAAAAAAAAAAAAAAAAAAAAAAACCTTTTTTTGGCAAAAAATTTTTTTTTTTTTTTTTTTTTATTAGTATAACGCAGGGGCACCTCTTGAGCGATCCCCCAGGGCTGCTTTTTAGCTAACCTCAAAGAACGGGACAAGATGGGGAAGGGGAAAAGGGCCCGGGGGGGGGGGGGGATCTTCTTGGGTGGTCCTGAGTCTATGGGTCGGGCGACCCAGGTCAACGCGTCACCCACCCGTCGCCCACCCGACGGGTGACCCAGAGCAAATATTGACACGCCCATGACCCAGAAATGCCCACTAGGAGGCATAGATAGACCCAAGGCCGGTCACCCACCCTAGGAGGCATAAATAGACCCAAGCCCAACCCAATCACCTTGTGGGTCGGGTGGGGCAGGTGGGTGCGGCTGTGGGCACCTGGTGCCCCCTCTGCTGCAAACCAGAAAAAAATGTGACCCGGTGCTTTTTTATTTTTATTTTTTTGGGTGGGGTGGGGTGCGGGAGGGTGGTGGCACCAGCCATTTTGGACAAATTTCCAGAGAGGTAATTTCAGGTTAATATTGCTTAATAATTAACTACGGATGTAATTACATCACAAATCTCGAAAAACAACTGTACAATGGGATATGCTTGTGTCACCATGATTCAGTCTTCATAGTAATCGAGAGTCCAGATTGAGTGTTTTTTTTTTTTTGGAGTCCAGATTGAGTGTAGAATCTTCGTAACAACATCTTCTGAGAGACCACATTCAATGTACTGGTGGTCAATCTGTCATATCTTATATTTGTTGTTTCCTCAAAAGGAAATCGGAGAACGTGTCCGTTCCTACCACGAGGCAAGAGCTGACGCCAACAATTCCACACTACCGTCTTCGCCCGAGGCCTGAATAGAACCTTTGGCTTCCTGCACCTGGGGCATCTTTCAGTCCAGATTCAGCGATAATGAGTGGGTGTGTTCTATTCGGGTCAGTATGGTATTCTGTCAGAAAAGCTTGGTTAGCGGCGCGGATTATGGGGCCCGCCACACCACTGTTGAAATGGAAAACGAACGAATGCATCTTCCTGCGGAGGAGGGCAAGATGCATCCCTTACTATGAATAGCAATGGATGCATCTTACCACTTTCTGCGGCAGATGCATTCCTTCTGTTTTCGTTTCAACAGTGGTGTGATGAGACCCTATGGTGTTCGATCCTGCGTCTTCCTGTTTTGTTTTACAAACTCTCTCAGCGAAGTTTCCTTGATTGATGCCCCTCTTATGATTCCCAAATGGATTACTTTATAAGTTTATATTTCTCTAGCTTTTTTTTTTTTTTTTTTTTTTCATGTCGTTGTAGTGCCCTGCCGGCCAGGCAGGGC